ATCTACCACCCAAACGGTTCTAGACTCCCTCCTTCTCCTCCATTGCCTCATTTCAGCCGATATCATTTCCTCCTGAGTTGTTACCATAACCTCTCGTAACATATTCCTGTCCTCCCACGTTCATTCTCTATCTTGTTACTGGGGGATCTTTCTAGAGCACAGCCTGGTAATATTCGTCTGCTCAAAGCTTCCACTGTGACTCCATCACCTTCAGAAGATTGCCTCAACTCCTGGGTCATCCTGCTTACCTAACTGGCTGTCTCACGAGGTAACCACAGGCAGCCTTTGGTCCGCTAACCTGCAGGCCACGGCATGCCTTCATGTTTTCACCCACAGTCCCCTCTCTCCTAATTCTAATTCATCCTTTAGATGTAGTTCAGGGGTCACCTCCCCCAGGAACACTTGCCCTGACCTGCACTCCCTGCCATCCCTATCAGAGCCTGGCTCCTCCCTCTGGGTTCCCTTGACATTTAGGTAAGCTCTTGCAGAGAGATTATCACACTGAATAGGGAGAGCTGACACACTGAATAGGGAGAGCTGATTTACACGTCTCACCTTTCCAGGGGAACCTCTTTGAGGGCAAGTGCTGATCTTTTATCTTTCTATCTCCAGCACCTGTCACTGTGTCTGTTACTCAATAAATGTTGCTGATAAAAGTCAAGAATGAAGAGGATGTTGAGAAAGCTAATGCAGACATAGCTTCTTAATAAAAGCTGTTATCTGGGGTCAAACCAAGGGCTAAGCAGACCAGCTTTCTGGCTCTGATAGCAGTTCCGGTGAGTTTTCAGGAGGAGGGTTTTCAGTTTTCAGTTTTCATGTGAAGCTGGAAGGATCACTAAAGGTCATCACATTTAAAACCCTCATTTTACAGGGAGGTGAAGTGGATTCCCTAGGTCATACAGTTCATCAAAACAGAACTAGCCGAACCTGGGTCCCTAGACCTCATGCTCACTGCTCCTACAATTTCACTGTGCTGCCCCCTGAAGGGAAAATTAGGAGTGTTCTCTAAAAGCTCCTGAAGTCCCTTAGATACACATTATGGCTTCAGCATCTGTGATTCGTTCTTTCTTCTTAACCAATTTATATTATCAATATTCTTAGAGATTTGATAATATATATCCTGAATATACAAATATCATTAAAAAAAACATAAAATTTGTGGGTGGCTCTTTGTCTGAAAGTTGATCCTTGTATTGAACAAAAGTCAGCCTTTCCCTAACTTGTACCCTTGGGTGCAAGCATGACGCTATCCCTCTTTAAAATGTGACAGAGCTAGAACTAACCACAATGTGGTCTCAAAGAAAAATTTCTTGTCACCCTCTTCCATCAGCTGCCTGCCATTAAATCCAAAGCTGTCTCTTAGCTTCATCTGGTCCTTCTGTTTAGATCAAGTGGTGGGTCGCTATTAGGGTCAGTCTCCATAACACCTCATTCTTTCCTCTAGAACATGGTTATTTATTGAGCACATACTATGTCGTGCACCTTTCTTTAACATCTTTTAGCTTCTACTCTTTCTAAAGAATCTCTCTCTCTCTTTTATTTCTAGAAATCTTTATTAAGCACTTTAAAGAATTTCCATAATCCATGACTTCAGATGGCTCCAAGTAACTGTGAAGATAAGACACACAAACACCTTTTCTGAGATTTGCAATGCTAAATATGCAAATCTCCAAGTGACCTCTCAGGACAGGTCTGGGGGTGGGCTGGTGCAGACGTACTGACTCCTCATTTATCATGTGGTGATTTACAGCCCTCTAGTGGGTCTTTAATGCAACATATAAAGGGAAGCCGAGGGCGATGGAGTATGATGGCTCATTTGTTTGTTCCTTCACTGGTACATTCTTTCAATGTACAAATGCCAACTGAGTGCCTACTACGTTCCAGGCACGTTTTAGGTGCTGGAGATACTGCCGTGAACAAAAGAAACAACAAAAAAATCACCTGCATTAGTTACTTAAGACGAAGAAAACAGTGAGTAGAACAAGTCTGGGACAAAACTCGAGTATGAGTTTGGACACGTTAAGTTGGAGGTGCCCATTAGTCTTCCAAAAAATGTGTTGGTGTCTTTGGGAACACCTGTAGAGCACTTGTGAGCAGAACACACAGACATAGTGCAAATAATCTCTTTATTTGAGATTTCACCAAATTTAAATTAAAACTGACAACAATCAGCATATTTAGCAAGGAAATTGTGAAGACACTGAATCAGACCCTGGGTGTGGGAGCCTGGTTATAGACAAGTTCAAGCCTTGGTCCCACCCTTATGGAGCTGGTCATCTCTTAGTTTTCTCTTTCAATGTAGTCTTCTCCATTTCTGTCTCAGTTCTTTGTTTTCTTAATTCTTAGCAGAATTTGTAATGGTTGGATTTCTCTGTCTCCTTGGTACATCTACTCTCTCCACCTCCAAGACTGCACGTCAGTCCCACTCACTGGGGTATCTTCAGCACCTGGCGGGGTTGAAGGATGAGTTTTCGATTTAATAGGTCAGGTAAGATAGATATACATGAGCAGCAAGTAATTCAGACTATTATATGGCACATCCTAAATGAGTAAAGAACACAGTTAATTGCTCTTTTAGGAGGTCACCGTGGGTTGAGGGCAGCCAGGGAATTTTTCAGGGAAGAAACTGGGCTTGAGCTGAGTCTTAAAGGATGGGTGGAATATGAAGGAAGGAGGGAGGAAGTGATGGGGGAAGGGGTATTTCCTCTAAAGTGTTCCTGATCGACCTCCACATGCTCCTCAGCCACCAATGTCTCTTTCTTCTCAGCGTCTAGGCTGTCCTGCCCCTCACTCCCACCCAATGATATGGGCTAACTTTGGCATGTTTTTAGGGTTTGTCATGCCATACCCATGTCACTCTTTACCATCTCTGTCTCTTCTAATGAACACTCAGCATATTAATTCCTATCATTATATCTGGCACATAAAAAGTGCTCAATAAATATTTGCTGAATGAACATATGTGCCTAGGAGCCACTCTCCATACTCTTGGGATGGCTCTTTACCCAGTATTTAGTCTCTGCCACAGGGCTGGAGGCTATCGAAACGTGAGTACTTGAGGGCTTATCCAAATTCTTACATGATTATTAATAAGCTGCTTTCTCATATTTTCATTTAACAAAGATTTTTTGCATGCCTCTTTTATTACAGGGCTTATGCTAGCTACAAGGAATTTGAAGTTGAGCCACTGTGAGATCCATATAAACAAATAATGATAAATAACAAGTTAAGGTGGACTTATGTACAAAGTGGTTTATGAACACTATAGATGGAGGAATTGCTTGTTCTAGGATGCTAGGAAAGGCTTTCCAGAGTACAGGAGAGAAAGTTGGCACTGAGTCTTGAAAGACAAGTTGTGTCCTCTAGACAGACATGATCAGGGGTAGGGGAGTGGATAAGGGAGTGGGATGGACAGTATTCCAGACAAATGGAGTAACAGGTGCAAAGGTGGTGGTGGTAGGAGGGAACTGAGAAAGTGTGTCGGGTTTGGGGAATTGGGGCAAAGCATCAGAGCATAAGAATGGCCAGAGAGAAGGTGCAGGGCTGGATTTGAGGTGGGCCAGCGAAAGAGCTCCAGGGATGTCAATCTTTAAGAGGTACTAAAATAAAAAAATATAAAGCCAATTAACTGAGCCACTTGTGGCTCCTTACATAACTTTTGAAAACTAAACTGGTTCCATTCCCTTGAGGTAAGACAGTGCCCTTGAATGTTACTTTAAAAATCTCCTGGCTGGCAATTCCAATTATGTTATATTCAGTGCAGGTAATAAATTCCTTATTTTTAACATAAAGAGGTTTGTAATTCTTATTAATAGGAAATCAAGTTACTTTCAATCCCATGCTGATCAGATATTTAAAGAAAATTGACCTATTTATGCATTGCCAAATTATTAGCCTTCTTGTAAAGTACTCCTCCACCTTTGGATGGAGGTCTCCAGGTCCCCTCTCACAGGTAAAAGTGGGACTGCTCCATCTGGCTGGGCGAGCTGAAAGTGTTTGTCTCTGTGCATGCCCAGAAAAGGCTGCATTCAATGAAGTATTGTCAATCAACTATGTGCTTGGCACCCCTTATAACCTATTTGGTAGTCTTTTCTAATAAAAAAAAAAATTTGTAGGAGTCTTAAAGGTAAACCTCTCTCTGCCTTAGAGCCACCATATTCTCCTGGGTATTCCAAAACATCAGGGACTTCCATATTGCACCCTGAGGTTTTGTACACACCCTCTGCATGTTAAACAGGCCTCTAAGTTTGGTGTTCAAAGATATAGTCTCTCTATGAGGACTACATCCTAAAGTTATGTGTGAACTTTAAATCATTACTATGAGTATCCACTGTTTTTGCATTTATTCTTCTCTTCCTGGATGTTGGAACTAAGCAAATACTATAACCTTCCTGTGCTTCCATTTCCTCATCGGAAATAACGCCAATTCCTGCTTTATTACTTTACAATACATGTAAAGTGCTTGTCCCGCAAGCACTGTACACAGTCCCGCAGCACTGTCAGCACTTACTTGCGCACCCTTCAGGGAGAGACAGTCCTTTTCATCTCTGTACTCAGTTCTCACCCAGACTTTAGCGTAACCCTGCCCCGGGCTCAGGGTACAGGAACCTGAGAGAGGAGGGCGCGTACAGAGAATGGGTTGTGTGAGCGGTCAGAGTGCAAAGGTAGCTGGTTGAGGCAGTGAGCAGAAAAGTCTGAAGAGCGCTCTGGACTTCGGTTGCCTTCGCGGCCTCAGCCAGAGGAACAGGGTGGCGGGGAACCGCCTGTCACTGCGGCTTTCTGTGCCCCGCCCTCTCTTTGGTTTTAGCTCCGCCCCTTTCTCCCGAGACGTCGGAAGCAGACGCCGACACCGACGCCGACGCGGTTGCCTAGCGATACACTTTTCCCAAGATGCCCAGGGTGTTGTGTTCTTCTTAGCCAATCAGAGAGGCGAAGCGGCCTTACCGCAGGCCAATAGACTGCGAGGCGGGGGCCCGCGACGGTTAAACTGGGCTGGAGACTGGGGCGGCCTGGCGCTGTGGCTTGAGGTCTCCGACTCGGTGGCTGCATATCCGCGACGGTGGTGCGACGTTCAGGTGTCCTGCGCGGGTCTGGCCATGCCGACTCGGGCGGAGGACTACGAGGTGCTGTACACCATTGGCACGGGCTCCTACGGCCGCTGCCAGAAGATCCGGAGGAAGAGCGATGGCAAGGTGAGCGCGGGCTCGGTGCCTGTCTCCGCCCCCGCCGCGGTTGTGCAAACTGCGGGGGGCGCGCCCTCTGCCGCCGAAGGGAAGCGAGGGGCCTGGGGCTGTGCGTCTGGAAAGCAGGGCGCTCAGAAGAGTTAGCCATCTCCCCTCAGGTCTGTGTCGGTCCTGGGTCTCTCAAGGGATGGGAAACTGTGTCCCTTTTTCCTTTTTATTTTTCATTTGTGAATCTGTCCTTAATCTTTAAATAAAATTAATAGAGTGTGCCAAATAGAATATTGTCAAATACATAACACCGCTTTGCTATTTACATGAGATTGCGCATTTTTATATATTTATGTTATAGGCATATATATTTTTAACATCTTTTTTCCTTTCTCTTCCATTTTCTTCCTTTTTCCCAATTTGACCTGCTAAGGGCCTTCAGTTGGTGACAGCTAGCTGACTCCTGAGCTGTTTTTTTTTTTTGCGGTACTCGGGCCTTTCACTGTTGTGGCCTCTCCCGTCGCGGAGCACAGGCTCCGGACGCTCAGGCTCAGCGGCCATGGCTCACGGGCCCAGCCGCTCCGCGGCATGTGGGATCCTCCCGGACTGGGGTACGAACCCGTGTCCCCTGCATCGGCAGGCAGACTCCCAACCACTGCGCCACCAGGGAAGCCCTCCTGAGCTGTTTTTAGAGAAGAAGAGCCCTCTCGGCCATGACCATCAGCACGTCGAACTTTTATGTCTTGTAGTCAGAATTCATTTAAAATACCCATTATTCGGATTGTTGGATTCAGATTTCCCAAGGTGTGTAGGTAGACTTTACACAAAGAAACAATGGAGAGGAAATTGGCTCTGACGGAAGGACCTTTACTAAGTTCTCTTACCTTGGAAATCTTGACTTGGAATGCTCGAGGACTTTGACTACCTCTGCCCCAGCTTTGACCAGCTTTGACTAAGCAACGGAGGTTAGGGGGTTGGGGGAGGTCTAATGTACCTCGTCACTCTCTGTTGCATCATTTACTGCTGAAAAATTGGGGGAAGATTATGGAAGTAAACTCAGGGGTCCTTAGGTTCATTGAACTACATTAGATGATGTCACTGTATGATCTACTTACTAGAGAAGTAATTTTTAAAAGTTTTTAAAAAGGTTTTGAGTATAATGAGTTTATTTGTGCCTTGGAAATTTTTATTTCAGATCTTAGTTTGGAAGGAACTGGACTATGGCTCCATGACAGAAGCTGAGAAACACATGCTTGTTTCTGAAGTGAATTTACTTCGTGAGCTGAAGCATCCAAATATCGTCCAATACTATGATAGAATTATTGACCGAACCAACACAACACTGTACATTGTAATGGAATATTGTGAAGGAGGGGACCTGGCTAGTGCAATTACAAAGGGGACCAAGGAAAGGTAAAATCTCTTAAATGGGCCTAGTTTTGCTTCTGTTAAGCATCCTGTATTAAGATCAGGGACAGAGTACTTAGTAATGCGGAAGAGTCTTCTGGTGTTTGTTTGGTGGGTCCACGGTACTTTAGAAAATCCCTGGTACGTCAGCACCCATATTTCATATCAATTTATTTCCCTATGTGTACACTTTGAAAACTATATAATTCACATCATCCCATCTTTGTTATGGTTTTATTCAGAAGTTATAGGCTATATTACTGCTTTGATTTCAGGCAATACTTGGATGAAGAGTTTGTTCTTCGAGTGATGACTCAGTTGACTCTGGCCCTAAAGGAATGTCACAGACGAAGTGATGGTGGTCATACTGTGCTGCATCGGGATCTGAAACCAGCCAATGTTTTCCTGGATGGCAAGCAAAACGTTAAGCTTGGAGACTTTGGGTTAGCTAGGATATTAAACCACGATACGAGTTTTGCAAAAACATTTGTTGGCACACCTTATTATATGTCTCCTGTAAGTATTTCAGAATTTAGATGCTTTTTAAACATCTTAATGCTAAACACTCAACTTTTTGTTTGTTTAGTAATATCCAATAGCCAAGAATTAACAATACTGTTTTATTTTAAATTTATATTTTTCCAAATGGATCACCAGACCATTAAGTTCCTGTATTAGCAATATAAATCAAGCTTTCATTGAATGACTACCAAGTGCTAAGCTCTGGGATCACAAAGATGAGATAGGTTTTGTCTCTGCCCTCAAGAGCAGCACTTCCCAAAGTGCCATAGGTCCTGGACACCAGCTGGAACTCATCTGGGGTGATCGTTTAAAATGCAGAGTCCTGAGCCCCAAATCCAGTGAATTTGGATCTCTGGACAGGTCTTTGCACTCAACTGTTTTTTTCTTTGTTTGTCCTCCACCACTTTTTATTTTGGACTTTGTATTTTAACAGACCTTCTAGATGATTCTTGTGCATGGAGATTCAGGGCTCAGGAGGCTCACTCGCTTTTGACAACATATTTTTGCGGTGTTAACTTTTTGTACTTATTCTTTTTTTATTGCCTTTTCCTACAGTGCAGCTGCAGAGCCCACCGATTTACTTGTTTCCTCAGTTGCTGAATATTTTGTTTCCAAAATGTCTCACCATTCTAAAGAGCACTGCTATGCATGTTTTTGTATGAATTATTCTTTCTTCCTTTTTGGTTATTTCCTTGGTGTTTAGCTCTTGAAATGAAATTTCTGGGTCAAAGGGTATGAACTGTTTATGGCTCTCTAGTGAGTTTTGAAAAGAATCAATAATTGATAGCACCAATGTGTTGTATATGAAAGATGAGCAGATAAAGATGGAGAGAGATTTATTTTTTTAGCTGTTACAAACATTTTCAGGATTTTCTCAGTCTTTTTTAGTTATGTTAACCAATCTGACTACAGTATAAAACTTTGTAAATTAGTGATTTTTTTTTTTTTTTTTTTTGCGGTACGCAGGCCTCTCACTGTTGTGGCCTCTCCCATTGCAGAGCACAGGCTCCGGACGCGCAGGCTCAGCAGCCATGGCTCATGGGCCCAGCCGCTCCACGGCATGTGGGATCCTCCCGGACCGGGGCACGAACCCGCGTCCCCTGCATTGGCAGGCGGACTCTCAACCACTGCGCCACCAGGGAAGCCCAGTGATTTTGTCTTTGACTCAGATTAGACATGGCCAGAGCAGTGTCGTTTACTCACTGGAGCAGATTCCAAATAGAAAGCCTTTGATATAAAGGAAAATTATCCAGAGGTGGTTCTTGGAAAAATTGAAACCTGCACAATTCTTTTGTTCCTGTTCCGCCCTGCCCTTGTAAATAGATCAGTTTAGCCTTCCCTATGGGATTGTCAGGAAGTGGTACCAGACTCCCCTGTTGGACTTTAAATTACGAAGAAGACTTCTGAAGATTTCAGTACAGTACTTGCCTCTGTGCCCTCTGTTGAGAATAAGAGCCATGGTGGACTGTTGTTACTGTACGTGTGGAAGAAAGGCAAACAATTAAAATAGGAAGTGAGAATATTACTTACTACTGTGGTATATAAGTGGACTAAGGGAAAAATATATAAATGAATGATTCAATTAGCCATTTATGTCTATATTCATTTAAATGTGGGCTAGATGTTATTCTAGAATTTTCTCTGGTCCTTTTAAAATGGAGTTTCTAGATTATGAATTCTTTGAGGGTAGAAGGTAGAGCTATCTCATGTTCACCTTTAACTTGCCAGTGCCTTGCCTGTAGTAACATAATAAATATTTGCGAATGAAAAATAAGTGAATGAATTATATATGAAAAAGTGTATTAGGATAAGATCATTGCCTTTTTTCCATTATAAATTTGAATATAAAGTATAAAGTACCATCTTTTTGTTGTTATGATACAAGATCTAATGTAAGAGTAATCAGCCTTTTGTATTTGAAATTTTTGTTATAGATATAAAATATTTATAATATAAAATTTGTTCCCTTCTTTTCCTTGAGTGAATATTACCAAACTTTAAGGTTCCATTTTTGTCCCAGGACTAATTTTATAAGTTTTAAAACAAAATGAACTTTAAACTCCTATTTTCTTACCTTTTTTTTTTTCCCCCTTAAGGAGCAAATGAATCACATGTCCTACAATGAGAAGTCAGATATCTGGTCACTAGGTTGCTTGCTGTATGAACTGTGTGCATTAATGTAAGTATAATGAAGACAGATTTTTAGTCTGAGGTTTACACTTAGAGAGATTTGTCACCTTTCACCAGGTTCAGCTTTTTGAGCATCCATGCACATTCAAGTCTGAAAGAATCATACCGTGGGTTAAAATTAAGGTAGATGGACAGGTTAAAAAAAATTATTTACAAATTAATAATATAATCCCTGAGGCTGGATCTAGACTTGTTCAAGCTTCTAACCTGGTTAGATGTTTCTCTGTTAGACTGAGCTTAGCTCAAGGGGAGAGCATATAGGTCAAGCCTATGGAAAAAATGAAATAAAGATCTAGAGAAGCAGTCTAGGGTTTGGACAGGAAAGAGTTCTGATTCTTTCCCTTTTTTCTTTCTGTTTTTTCCCTTCTAAAGTATTCTGTAGAGCAGTGGTTCTCAACCAACGAAGGGGAATTTTGCCCCCCAGTTTTGCCTCCCATGGGACATTTGACAATGTCTGGAGACGTTTTAGTTGTCACAACTAGGGATAGCTACTGGCATCTAATGGACAGAGGTCAGTGATGCTGCAAAACATACTAAACAATGCACAGGACAGTCCCAATAACAGAATCATATGGCTCCAAATGTCAGTAGTACCAAGGTTGGGAAACTTAGCTACAGAAGAAGATCCCAGAAGTAGAAACATAAATACAAACTGGACCTTAAACTCTGCTTTTGGTTTGCTTCTTCTTATATATTTTCATTTTTACATTTAAAAAAAAATTTTTTCCCCCAGGCCTCCATTTACAGCTTTCAACCAGAAAGAACTAGCTGGGAAGATCAGAGAAGGCAAATTCAGGCGAATTCCATATCGTTACTCTGATGAATTAAATGACATTATTACAAGGATGTTAAATTTAAAGGTAAAGTTTATAAGATGATATACTGTATGTTTCCATCTCTCAGCTAAGTTTTGCAGTGTATCCTCTCGTGGAGCAATGAGTCTAAAGAAACATTAAATATATTTCTTTAGCTAAATCTACTGTTACCACGAGTGAAAACATGTATCCTTGGCACATTGCAGGCCTGCCTTCTGTGCTTTCTTTGTGTCTCCTCCCACTCTGCCATGCTAACAGATGGTTGGTAGCAAGGAGAGATTGCAATAAGGATCCAAATCCTCAGTTCCCCTTGTCCTTGCCTACCTCAAAGTGGCAGGTGGTACAGGAAGGGGCCAGGAATAATACCTTATTACTCTGCCTCTAGCTCTGAGAGATTAGAGATCATTAGAGATGGAAATCGTGGGGGAGGGCTGACTAAAAAGAGTAGAGGGGAAATAAAGAGATTATGTAGAAAAAAATCTGGCAGTGGGATGGGGAGGGAGATGTCCTAGGGATCAGGCTGTGTAAGAATAGAGTTAAATGCCATGGGAGTTCAAAGAGAAGGAAGGATGCAGGTGAAGTAACAGGATTGAAGGTCGGTGAGAGAGCACCCTGCTTAATGTAGTTTGGAGATGCAAGGGCAGTACGTGCCCTGAAACAGACCGACCCTAGCAACGCTACCCAGCACAGCACAGGGATTGAGCTTTCTTAGGTTAAAAGGGGAACAAAGGTAAGTTAAAATCTGCATTACTTTGTGGACCCAGAACCTCATGAGTTAAAGCCACCAGTGAACTTATTTTTCAGGTGTTTAAGACCCATGTGTGTGTGTTGGGGCGGGGGGGAATGGGCAAAATGGGCGAAGGGGGTCAGTTGCATGGTGATGGATGGTAACTGAACTTGTGGTGGTGATCACTCTGTAGTATATACAGATGTTGAACTATAATGCTGCGCAAGTAAGAAAAGAAAAGACCCATCTGTAAAGGAGTCCTTTCTTTTGCCTTGGAAATATATGCTGTTTTATTTATTTATTTTTATTTATTTATTTATTTTTTTAAACATCTTTATTGGGGTATAATTGCTTTACAATGGTGTGTTAGTTTCTGCTGTGTAACAAAGTGAATCAGCTCTACAATATATGCTGTTTTAAATGTAACTGCTCTTTCAGGATGAGTAGTCCATTATGTAGTGTGCCTGTAACACCGAATATTTTTTCCCCAGGATTACCATCGACCTTCTGTTGAAGAAATTCTTGAGAATCCTTTGATAGCAGACTTGGTTGCAGAAGAGCAAAGGAGAAATCCTGAGAGAAGAGGGCGGCGATTAGAACCAGGAAAGTTGCAGGACTCCAGCCCTGTATTGAGTGAGCTGAAACTGAAGGAAATACAGTTACAGGAGCGGGAGCGAGCCCTCAGAGCAAGGGAAGAAAACCTGGAGCGTAAGTCTGAGTGGGGGTGAAGCACAGAGAGCTCCAGGAAGCTTATTCTAATGTATGTGAAAATCTATCTGAACAGAGGATCTCATGTCTGTGTTCTATTAGAAGGTTTTTATAAATACTTGCGAAACCAAGATATGCATATCAAGCTTGCTGCACCTTCACGTTGAGCCTTTCTCTGAGATCAGCTGTTGTCGTCACATTGTTGGGCCCTAACTGTGACAGCCCAGCACAGTAGCCATCACACTGTACTGTAGAGTCACTCTTTTCTTTATCTTTCTTAATATATGGACCCTGAGGTTTCCCATTGTAAAGAAGGTCTTAGAATTTGCCAGCGCTTCTCCCTTCTGATACACTGCTCCAACACAGCCCAGGTCTGAAATCCTACAGTGTGTAAGACTAGATGTATTTGGGCAGTTCCACAGAGCATTTGGTACAAGATATTTAAATACTCTGATGGGTATTGACGGACTGGGTGCTAATGAGTTTTTGATGTTGAAACTCTGTCTACTCCACTAAAGTGAGAGCTGCTACCCAGGTTTTAGGATTCTGCAAGGCAGCAGCAGCAGTGCAGCTCTGCATTTTGACATCGAGGGAAGAGACGGGCTGCGACTGTCTCCTTCCCCCCTCATGGCTCACCCAATCTCGCTTCTGCAGCTCAATGCCAATGCAGACTTCATAAGTGTTTTTCTATTTAAACGTACTTACAAAGCATCTAAATGCGTTTGTTAATGTTTTACTTCCTAATGATAATTGTCTAGTACTGTGAGATACGCTGTCTGTGGGAGGTACAGCCTGTGCTTACCTGAAAATCTTTGTCTCTTCTGTCAAAAGAATTCTTTAAAAAAAAAAACAAAACCCACAAAAAACAAACAACCAAAAACTTTTCATTAAAACTTTCCCGAGTGTTTTGTAATTTCACAAAGCAGCTGAAATCTGAACTCTCTGAATGCTGGGCCATGAATAAATAATAGCCTTTGTTAGTACCACCTAACTGAGCTGTGGTTTTTTCCCTTCTATTTGGGTGCTGTCATTCACCCAGAGGGAGAAGGGTTTGTACCGCAGCCGGGTAACGCCCGGAAAATGAACTGTTGCCCCTTCTCCGCGGAGAGCAGGGATGGCAGTAGCTCTTTGTTTTCCCCCATGAGTTATTCCCACAAATCACAACCAAAGGTTGAAGCTGACTTTGTCCTTGTGCTTAAGCCAGTCCTTAGGAGAAAACCTAAGACAACATACAACATACTAACCACACAGCATTATGAAACGGGAACAGTCCGGTTGGCTGGAGTATACAGTAGGAAACCCTTCACAAAACATGACTCATCGGAGGTCAGGCTGTTAGCCTTAGCGATAAGGAAAAGCAGTAAGATTACCAAATGTGAATTGTTTATGCCACTTGTTAATTTCTTTCTTTCTCGTTCCATTTCTTTCTTAAAGAGAAGGAACGTGAGCTTTGTGTTCGTGAGAGACTGGCAGAGAACAAGCTGGCCAGAGCAGAAAGTCTGTTGAGGAATTACAGCCTGCTGAAGGACCAGAAGTTCCTGTCTCTGGCAGGTGGTCCAGGTATGAGAACCAGCTCAGAGAACAGAAGTTGGTGCCACAAATGAGGAAACGGGCACCAGCGTTGCCCCGAAGGTGGCTTTGGCAGCCCTTTAAATTTCCAGAGTCTTGAATTTTATGATGGAGTGAATTGAATATGTGCATTTCAGTGGAGATAAAAATTGTGTTTTAGCAATGACTGACTTAACTGTGATCAGAGACATGAGGCAATGAGTCAGGATGATTTCATCTTCGGTTTTATTTGCTTTATCAAACTGTGTTCAGTATTTGATATTTATTTTTAAAAACTAGTTCATTTTAAAAAAATGCTGTGCCTTTCAGGTTTTTCTCTGGGTATATTTTCAAAACTCTACATTTCTCTCCATTTTCAAGTGAAAATCCTAGCATTTTACTATTACCACACGACCAACTCATATTTGCCACATCCTTCATAGAAAGTATGGCTTAAAAGGTGTGATAAGCCAACTGTAGAATAGGCCATCACTTTTGGATCTTTGCTAAGACCCGTTCCAGTTGAAACGTGTATGTCAAAGTGTGACTGCTTAATACCTGCATATGCTCTGTAATACGTGATGGAAACAAATGAAACCAGTGATGGAAGTAAATCTCGTTTTTCTCAATATTGCTATCTACCATTTCAGTATTTTTATAATATTTATTTCAGCTTCTCTTAGATTCCACACTGCCATCCATAAAGATAAACTAGACTTAAATCATGATTACTGTGATAGAGTGAGGAGGAATTTTTATCTGGGTAAGTGTCATGCATCAAGCCCGTTGCCGAGAATTATATGGAAGGTCCTGTTGGGGACGGCTCTCCCAGTCAAAGAGTTTATTTACATCTTGCCCTGAGAGTCTTTGAGCAAAGGGTGAGAAGAGCTGGCGAAGGATGATGTTTCACTTCGTAGGACACGTAGGTAGAAGAATCTACCGGTATGTGAATCACGGCAAAGACTTAAAATGAGCTGTGGGAATGGTGTCCAATGTGGGTAGGAGGTGTTTTAAAGTACTGAGCATGTCAGAGCCCTAAGAAAAGCAACAAAGCGGTGGGGAGGGGGTGCCCTTGTGAACTCAAGACAGTTGGAAATATCCTCTCCCCATCCTTGGGCTATAGAATTCAGACATGAGGAAAACAAATAAATTGAGATCATGACAGTAAGCAACAGCATCTTTTTAAAAGCTCTACTTAGTCTGTTTAGTGAAATACTAATTCTTTTTTTAAACACTTTCTTATAAAACTGTCTTATTAGTAGGATTTACAGTTGACACTGTCTGTTTACAAATGTATAGGTGTTTGTGGTAATAAAGGTGGATCTATTTGAAACAACGGAGTTGAGGCCTAAAAGCAATCTCCTAAAATGCTTTGCAGAGAAGCAGTGTATGAAATAGGAAGTTGGGACAGTCGGAGGGCAGCGTTTCTCTGTGCAGCCTGCTCCTCCCTCAGGGCGTCTCCATTTCTTTGGACTGGAACATTCATCTCTAGATAGTCACGTGACTTCTTACTTCCTCACTTTCATCAGGTCTCTGCTCAGAAGTCACTTATTATGCAGCTTCATCACTGCCAACACCCCCAGCACCTCTGTCTCCCTCTCTCCGTGTTCATTTCCTTCACAGCACATACCATCCTCAAGTATTCCTCATGTGGGCTTGTTTATTTGTTTATGGTCTATCTCCTCCTACCACAATAGGGCCTTTGTTTGGTCCACACCGACCCATACAGTGAGCTCAGTAAATATTTGAACGTATTTCCTTTAAATGAACGCAAAGGAAAAACAAAAAGATTTTAGAATTCAAACCTTCAAGCCCCCAACCCCCAGATAGTTGTCAGTTCCTAATAGTGTAGCCACTTTAGGTAGATTATTATTTTTTTCATGTTAAAAGTACAGTTCACTCACTGTTAACTCGATTTACTTTTACCATGCTGAATCTTGCTTAGGTTCTTTTTGGAAGAAGTTTCTGGTCAGTTAAGCTGCTTTAAAATGTGTTCTTAAGTATTTAGCCAAAACTGTAGGTGCTCGCTATGAAAAAGAGCTTCTGCTTCCGTACTTTTCTGGAAGAATTGTGTTCTAGGTAGAATGGCACTTGCTTTCAAGCTTAGAGATAAATAACATGGGTTTCCAGAAGTTTTATATTGTGGCCCATAATCCTCAGTGCATTTAACCTTAAGAGGAATGTTGATTGTGAGAGAATAAAACATAGGTTCCTTGAGTTTTGGCTACAGATTAAAAGGCTGATTGATTTCTGCCAACCTCATGCCCCTAACCTGTTAAAAAAGAGACAACAGATCCAAAATGGAGTCACTGGTCACCAAATGTCACCAAATCAGGACTTAATACCTAACTTACTTTCAGTTTCAGCCTCTCTCAGGAATGGAATCTTAAACCAGTTAATCTGGAATTACCTGGTCATCACTAGTGAGGTCATCTGCCTGATAGACCCCTGCTGTCCCCTAAAGGACGGTGACCTTGCCACAGACAATCCCCCCTTTGCTGGTATAACTTCCTGGTCCTGCCCCCTTCTACCTATAAAAGCCTTTCCTTTTGTACAGCTCCTTAGAACTCCTTTCTGTCTTCTGGATGGGGTGCTGCCCGATTCATGAATCGTTGAATAAAGCCAGTAAGATCTTTAATATTTGCTCGGTTGAATTTTGTTTAACACTTCTATCCCAGAGAGAATAAACAGGTACCCAGATTTCACATGCAAACTGACAATAAATATTTTGGTAAGTTTGATAAGTATGGAGGAGTTCATCTCCTGTTCATGAAACTCAAAAACCTTTTTCTTTTTTTTTCTAAAGAACTTTTTGATCTTACATCCTCGATAATGAAGAAGAAAGTTCATTTCAGTGGGGAGAGTAAGGAGAATGTCATGAGGAGTGAGAATTCTGAGAATCAGCTCACCTTCAAATCCAAGTGCAAGGACCTGAAAAAAAGGCTTCATGCTGCTCAGCTTCGCGCTCAAGCCCTGTCAGACATTGAAAAAACTTACCAACTGAAAAGCAGACAGATCCTGGGCATGCGCTAGCCTGACCCAGAGACACAGACCTGTGTACAGTGTTTAATGTTGCCAGCCCTTTCGCGATGGGTATTCTACTGCTGTAGCCTGTATACTTGGTTCTGCGAGCCGTGCCTTTTCTATAGTAAGCAGGGTGGTTTGGTATTACTCTTGCTGTTTTTCAGCAAGAATTGTACCAATGGGGCTTCCCTGGTGGCGCAGTGGTTGAGAGTCCACCTGCTGATGCAGGGGACGCGGGTTCACGCCCCAGTCCGGGAAGATTCCACGGCTGGGCCCGTGAGCCATGGCCGCTGAGCCTGCGCATCCGGAGCCTGTGCTCCGCAACGGGAGAGGCCACAACAGTGAGAGGCCTGCGTACCGCAAAAAAAAAAAGGTACCAATGTCCACCCCTTTCATTTTTCTTTTGTAAAGAACGCTTCATAGAAAGAATAACGCTTTCTTGGCCAGTTGGGTTTTTAATCCTGTGTGTGATTACTACTGGAACATGAAATGTTATATTCTATATGTTGGGGTGGGGAAATAATATTAGAAAAAGATATTTACCCAGGAGCAGCACTTAGAAGTTTTAAGAGACTGAAGTGGTGTGCTTACAATTGTCACGTCTAGAGTTAAAATTTAAGTCTGAGGTTTTAAATGTTCTTGAGCTTAGAGAAAACCTAATTGGATATAGATTGGTCACTAATACCTTGACATCTCGCTTATAAATATCCCCTTGCTCTGTAGTTTAAATCTGTCACCTTTTGTGAAAATCCATCACTATGATGTCTCTACTCTTTTTCTTTCCCTTTTTATCCTGTTTAGCAGTATGTGAGCTGTCTGTCATTTGCCCACTCTTTTTTCACTAAATAAAAGAATTCTTTAGTTTTCCTGTATCCATGTCGCTTGTATTTGTTGATCTTAGTTGGAGGGAGTCTGTGTTTATGATATTTAGGCATTGGAGGGTAGGGAAGTGAATGTGATGCTCTCAAGAGCTATACGGCACTTTACTACCCATCTCATTTGTCCATCTAAGCCAGTGGTTCTTACGGGGGCAGGTTTGCCCCCCAGGGTATATTTGCAATGTCTGGAGATATTTTTAACTGTTACGATTGGAGGGAGGGTGCTACTGGCATCTCTTGGGTAGAGGCCAGGGATGCTGCTAAACATCCTGTAGTGCACAGGACAGCCCTCACAACTAAATGTCAGAGTACCACGCCTGAGAAACCTGATCTCAGCTGAAACTTGTTGGAATATACCCCACCCTTGAAGGAAACTTATTTTGGTTTTGATGGATTTTTTTTACATGTCTGACTTTTAATATGAATTAGCAGTCCTTGCTGTGCCCATCACATTTTTCATGTGATGTTTTCCTGGCAATGCTAATCCTTTTAGCTTAATGAAATAAGACCAAGTTATGAAGGGTTATAATGTCATAAATGGGAAGAAATAGCTCCTTTATTAGTTATCTTATTATAGGTTTATTACACCGTTGATAACGTAGTTCTATCAAAGATATAATATCGAAATACAATCAGAAACTGATTACCAGGCCTTTATGGTATACCCACAGATTAATCCTAACAGAACCACTTTGATGTAAATGTTGAGTATAATTTGCAGGGCCCAGTGCAAAATAAAAATGTGGTTCAAAAAGCAGGAAACAAGTACCATTAAAAGTACATATGGGACTTCCCTGGGGTGCAGTGGTTAAGAATCCGCCTGCCAATGCAGGGGACACAGATTTGAGCCCTGGTCCGGGAAGATCCCACATGCCGTGGAGCAGCTCCGCCCGTGTGCCACAACTACTGAGCCTGTGCTCTAGAGCCCGCGAGCCACAACTCCTGAGCCCGTGTGCTACAACTACTGAAGCCCGCGCACCTAGAGCCCATGCTCCGCAACAAGAGAAGCCACTGCAATGAGAAGCCCGTGCACCACAACGAAGAGTAGCCCCCACTCGCTGCAACTAGAGAAAGCCCGCACGCAGCAACGAAGACCCAACGCAGCCAAAAATAAATAAAGTTTATAAATAAATAGATAAAAGTAAAGGTATATATAAAGCCTTGTCCTTTCTTCCAAGGTCCCTCTGCTTATTGTGGTGGTGTTTGCTATTTAATTTTATAAGTAAAGAGAATTTGAAATTTTAAATTATTAGTATGCACTTTACTATTCATCTTTTATGTAGTATGATGCCAGTTTTAAATGCAAGTAGCAGCACATTTAGCTTATCTGTGGGATCACTGAAATTATTTAATTCATATTTTGTGACTCAAGCTGGCCAGAAGAGACACACACACATGCCTGTGACAGGTGCCTGGGGACGCGTGACTCTGGCGCCTGCCCTACACACTGCTGGTTTGGAGAAGTGGAGCCCACAGCCTCCACTGCAGCAGATAGGTCCCCCCAAGGATCTTACACCTCCAAGCTGGGACTTTCTTTGTACCTTGATCGAGGTGCCTGGATCGCCCCTGCCAAGATAAGGCCTCTAGCTGGCTGCCCACCAGCCGTGCTATGGGGCTGCCAGCCCAGGACGGGGGGAAAGGCATTGGGAGGCAGCTGCCGCCAACCCCTCTCCGGAGAAACTTCTGGGCACCCTTGCCCTGCCCATGCTGAGGCCCCTCTGGGAACAGAGTGTGGGAGGCTGGGTGGGGCTCGGTGCCCCAGGGGCAGGAGGCGGGACCATGTGAGCTGAGGCCCTGAGCCCATACCTGCACCCCTGCCCCACTGGACTTGACTTACAAAACACGAATTCAGCAACACATGATAAGTTTCAAGACTGCAAGCACAGAGCATTAGACTCCAGGTGGACCTTTCTGAATGCCAGCTCCTTCTGTATGTGAGGCCTATGTGACTACACTGGACCCACACTCGTGAACCAGCCCTTTCTTTAGGAAACTCCTTTCTTACCTTAGGAAATGAGATTTCTTTCCAGTTTTAATCCTGTGGCATGCAGAGCTTCTCTAGTTTCCCCTATCTCAGACTCCACCTTTGCTTTCATTCCTTCCTTCAATCAACCAACCAACAATTACTGAGCACCTACTACAGCTAGGCACTGTTTAAGGTGCTGAAGGTACAGCAACGAAGAAAGGCTAAAATCCCTGCCCTCAGGGAGGTGCCGTTCAAATGGGGCAAGATAGTAAACAAAGAAGAACCAAGTAGGGGGAGTCATTGCTGAGTGCCACTGAGAGGAATGAAGCACGAAAGGGGCGGAGGACTGGGCGGGTGCAATTTTAGAAGAGGTGGTCATTAGTGTTGAAGTGGGGTGGAGGAGAAAAGGAAAAGGGAGGTTTGAGTGGGGTATGTGGTCCGGGAAGAGATATCAGTAGGGGAGGGGAAAGTCGAACATGACTGGGAGATGTGATAGGGCAGTACTTGAAAGCGAGCAGAAGCTTGGAAACTGAGGAGTGATGTTTTTATTTGCTTATGCATCTCCACCCCTAAAGCTGGGAACATCTGAGGGTATTTGGGCAATGATGGTCGTAATCTAAGAAGAGGATTTCTTTGACGGGGGAGCCGGGAGAGTCCTCCCAAATGATGCTTCTTCAGCATCACTTTCTAAGATATTTCTAAGGTGCATTGCATGACATCAACACCATACTTACCATTACAGCCTTTTATTGTTTAAACAATAATGAATGTCACCAAGCACAGCCTGCTCGTAGGCATTTGAAAAAGGGTCATTGGATTTGAGAAAGATTAACCAGATGCTCTGAGAGACAGCAACCACAAGGTGGCACCATGGGTCTGTTAGACCGGAAAGCCCACCCTGTCCGTATAGCCCGTGCAGTTGGTTTGCTACTGAGAGATTGCACGTGGGCCTTGGTTAAATGCCTTATTCTCATTATTTCATTCAGTCCTCACAACACCCCCTGAGAAGTTGGCATCATTAGTGTCACATTCTACATGGTGGAACTGAGGCTCAGAGATCACAGCTGGGAAGAAGCACGGTTGGCTTCTGAAATATTTCTGACTCCAAAGCTCATGCTCTTGACTATAACCCTCTACTGGCCTGCCTCCACAAGACAGCAAAAGTTTACCTTTGTCCCCAAACCATCTAGTTTCCCCTAATGATGAGTTAAGGGTGAGATAACCCATAGCCTTACCCAAGACACTTGAATGATGCTGAGCCGGCATGGCTAGGGTCCAGGGGCCTTTCAGGCCTGCTTGCTTGGGGAGACAGGTTACTGTTTGGGGAGGGTGTGCCCAAGAGGTGGTTTTCCAGTGACCCTCACAGGACCCCAGGCCTTCCCTTCTTTCCTCAGCATCTTCTCCAGGGCCACCTTACTCAGGCCTGTCCTCCCTGGAGATATTTTGTTTCCAGGTGACTTTCCTTCCAGGATAAAGCCCATATCCCTCAAAGACTCCAGGTAAGGCTGCCCTCCCAGAATGAACTGAGGATGAAAGCAAAAGATGATGCAAGGAAGTTGATTAGAAAAGAATGGAGAGAATGTCTATGTTCCAACAAGAAAGGATTGTCATTCACTGGCCTTGATGGCTGGGAAAATATGGATCCATACCAGATGGATGGATTGCACAGCGAGGAGGATGATGAAAGGTGATGGAATCCATGGGTGTGTGAGGGCCCGCCTTCCCCGTAGCCCCGGCTCACCCCACACTGGAAGGGCAGAGGTCAGCGACCTGGGAACCCCCCACATCTGAAAGGCTGGGTTCAACACCATACTCAGAGGGGCCGGTAGCGGCACCCTTGCTTACCTCCACCAAGGCTCCTCCTACATTTCTGACACCATGGCGACAGCCAGGGCTCTGAGGCTCCACAGCTCTGCTGGAGCTACTGAAACCCTAGACATCTAAGGCTGCCCATCACCCAGCCAGGAAGGAAACCCCCCTCCTCCCACCTGCCCCGACTTTCTCTTGAGACAACATGCTGGCCCTCTTGATACCACTGGGTGCTCCTTAATCTTAGCCACACATTTACAGGAAATGTTCACAGCAGTTGATTTTATTCAATACATTTGTTTTTCAAGTCCTTAAATTATGAAGTGATAGCATCAATGTAAAAAATCTTAACAATATGTCCATTGCATTTTGTTCAGAGATTGTGACCAGATTTTAGAATGTGATTTTTCTTTGCAGCTTAATGTGACCAGTGAAACATTCTATGAATTACAGGAGACAAAAAAAATCTACGTTCTTTTGTAAGACATGATGGTTAGTTTTCTCTGGACAACCCTGACTGATACATAATGTATATCTTTTGATATGCATATTTAATTATGTCCTTGCTTATTATTCATCTGTTTAGTTTGTTAAAA